GACTATGAATGATGTGTTCAAGCAGCTTGTAGACGATTGACGTCAATGAAACCGGACGGTAATTTGCAGGGTTGGCACGGTCACTTTTCTTGTAGATAGGTGTGATATTGGCCTCTAGGAAGAGCACTGCTTGAAACAGACTTCTGAAATAATTTCTGTAGTATGGGAGCAATACTAGTTGAGCAAGCCTTCAAAACATGCACTGTGATTTTGTCTGGGCCAGCAGCCTTGCTAGGATTGAGCTCAGCAAGAAGTTTCTCTATACCATCAGTAGCGATACATAAATCGGACATGTCAGGAGCACTGCCATGTCCTAGGTGAGGGAAGTCTGTCAGCCTCTCTTTGGTAAAGACAGAGCAAAATCGGTAGTTAAGAGCCTCCGCCTTTTCCTTAGCACTGGAAAGATCCTTGCCGCCAACTTGTAAAGGTGACACACCAGAAACTTCTTTCCTTCTAGACTTAACAAACTTCCAAAAAGGTTTGGAATTATCTGTTTTCAGGCTGGCACCAATAACATCTCTAATATAAGACCTATAAGCTCTTCTAATCTTTCTATCGACATCTCGACGAAGTTTCTTGAATTTAGACCAGTAGTCGGCAGAACCAACTCTTTTGGCCCTGTTACAGAGGCATTTCTTCCTGTTTATTTTTCTTTTGATGGAGCTATTTATCTATGGATGTGAGATATGACTGGAAGTCAATCTGGCAGGGATGTTTTCTTAATAGACGCTGAGAGTGCTGTTTTGAATAAGATATACAGGTCATCAATTGAGTTGGTACTAACAACATTCTCATCCAGGTCAGAGTTAAACTTGGTCATGTCGGCATTTATCCCAGTAAAATTCCCTCTGTTGTAAAGGAAAACTCTGCGTCTCGGAGGTCTGGTGATCTTTGGTTTCTTACCCCCATGCATACATGAACATAATCGGCTGCTGAAGGTGTGTTAGTAAGACACAGATCAAGGATGTTCTGATCTCGGTTGGGCTCTATCACCAATTGATGCAAGTTGTGGTCATTAAAGGTATCGATCATGTGTTTACTAATAGCAGGATATTGACCACATGGCTTATAAGCAACAGACTCCCAGTCAACATCTGGTAAGTTGAAGTCCCCCAGGAGCCAAACACTGGCATTTGATGGAATTTTGGCAAGTGACTTATCAAGCTCCTAGGCATGGTCAATATCAGACGAAGGTGGTCTATAATAAGCCCCAATATAAATTGGGGCAAGACCAGTAACACAGGGGGCATGTTGTATGTGAAACTGATGGTCGTTTTGATTAACTCGCCACATACATGTACATGTAGGTGTGCCAGTATACACATGTTTGATGGGGAGCACGCTTGAGTACGTGCAATAAATTTATTGTGGAATGTATGGTCTTTGCGTACATGCAGAACGCGCGCAAAAACCCAATTGTAACCAACTATCTTTCTTTTGCCAAATGGGGGTGCACTTCAGCTCAGGGCGGATAAAAGAATCAATGACTAATTTATTTTTCTGTTTGGTAAATCTAGTTTCCTTCTATGATCTGTGTAGCATACTATTTTCCCTGGGCCTTGCCTGAAGAGAAATTGAATGCTTCATGGATCACCTCAGGAGGCTAGCTTTACTACCCAACTTCAAAACATACACATGTAGATGTATACAACATTTATATGTAAATAATGTATACATCCTACAACCCTGTTAAATTACTGTGTCGGACCCTGTATAATTTGGGAAAATTACTGTCTTTTTAGGTCCGACAAAAAAATATTTTTTTGGGTTTGACAGAGGATGTTAGGTTTGGACTTTCCCACGGCAGCTTGAAGTACACTTCCTTCTGGCAGCAAAGTCTTGCCCGGATACAAGCCGTAGGATGTCCGGGTGTCGGGTTCTCTCCCGGAAACCGCGATCACGCTGGTCAACGTGTCCCAAGGAGGGGACCAGATTGGTCAACTCTGAGGTGTCCACGTCTCCCCTTGGAATGTCTTCCACCATGGCACTTTTTAATTGGCTAGTTCCAAATTACCTCATTTGTCTTAATTTTTGGGCCAATCGCAAGAGCTACTAGCACCTGTGCGAACGCGTGACTTGGTAGGACTATTTAACCCCCCTCTCGTGGCTGTGTCTTCAGAGCGTACTAAGACCTAGGTGCGAGTTCTATCCGAAAGTGCCCCCTGCACTTTTTTTTTTGCCGTCCAGTTAGGAAGGAGAGCCGACTCCACAAAAGCGACTTTTTGTCACATTCCTAACGTTCTCGCATCATTTTGCTGCGTGCTCTGTCGATGCAGGTAAGCCGATACTTTATTTTTGTATGAACCATGTAGCTCTCTTCTTATATGATATGATTGTGTGACGGCATTGAGATTTGTCTTGCCCACTGATGATAATGTTATACTTCCCACACTCTACGGGCAATGATGTAATCACTTGTGTTTCATTATGTTTCTCGCCAAGTATGCCACGTCCTATTGCGCAACAATGTAAATATGAATGGTTCTATACTCTATTACTCCTTGTGCCGCTCCTGTAATTTAGCCAATATTCTCTTTATTGCTTTATTGGATGCATTGACGCTGATAGACTTCTTTTGAATGTTGTTCACTTACTACGTCACATTTTATTGCGTGGCTAAAGTACCGAATGCTAAGTTAAATCGGTCACATAAATTTCCGAATAGCCTTTTGACAATTTTGCATTCCTTGCTAAGATACTCTTTACTAGCCTACTTTGAGTGCCTCTTGTTTTCACATTTTGCCCTGCCGCTTATTTAATTTTTTTTGATGGATTGCTATTTTTGCTGTGTTGCCTCACTGAATTGAGGACTGGTTTATTTGTTAGACTACTGTTCATTCTTTTTTTTTTTTTGTACGCTTCCACAAACATGGATC